ATTTAGCTAATCTCTATAATATTATTTGAGAAGCCAGTTTCCTATGTGTCACGCTTACATTAACTCTCACGATGGTTGATTACAATGATACCCTTAATGAATATATTTAAATAGTATAATTAATTTTATATTTATTTTCCTTTTTAAAACCTTCCAAATAACATTTATAATAAAAAGAAAACATTTTTAAAATTTAAAAGGAAAATTTAAAACGAATATATATGTTAATATAATATGATTTCATGAAAAAAGGAAAATTCCCACAATAGTAATATTTTATCAATAAAATATTATAAATATATTAATGAGACAAAATCTTATATTTAAATAGTATTATTATTTTTTATTTAGTTTGCTTTTTAAAAAAATTCCAACTAACATTTATAATAAAAATAAAACATTTATAAAATTTAAAAGAAAAAAGTAAAAACGAAAATATATGTTTATATAATATGATTACATTAAAAAGGAAAATTTACAAAATAGTAACATCCATAAAAAATATTTTAAATAACATAAAATATAATTTTGAATTAATAAAATACTTTCATTATATCTATATTTTCTTATACAATATATATATATATATATATATATATTTGTATATAGTATGATTTTATAACAAACAATTCACACATATAATTTTGATATTTGAAAAATAAATTTTATTTCTTTTAAACATAATTATAAGTAACATAAACAGGTATATGTTTTTGATTGACTAAAATAGTTTTTAATTAAAATTATTGAATATCTTATTTATTTTCACATATTTAGTTGACTATAATATCTTTCAACTAAATAAAAAAATATCTATAAATTAAATTTTACTTATATAATATGATTTCTCAAAGACAACAACAATTATTTACTCATGTTTAAGAGAGATTAAAATTTTAATTTGTTTAACATAAACATCTTTTGATCAAATAATTACAAAATATATTCAAATATCATACCACTATACACTTTAACGTGATAGATATGTTATATTCTATCATTATTAAAATTATATGTTTATTAATATTAAATTTGTTTTTAAATTTTATGTTTTTATGTTTGTGGAACTTAATATAACCATAATAAAAATACCAAAGAAAATCTGAATTCTCATTTTTAAGATTATTTAAAATAATTTCAGTTTACCTTTCAATAAATCTAAGACATTAAATTATTTAGAATTTATAAATATTTTATTTATTCTAAATACTGATGTGTTCATGAATATCCAAAAATATATCAGTTACTTATGTATGTAACTTTCTAGTGATCATTGCTTTATTTTCTAATATTTTTTTTAAAAAAACATATAATTTGATAATTATTATGAAAATACATGCACAGTTAAGTGATAAATAATATTAATTTAATTTTACTTATTTACAATAAAATAATTATACTTTCGTTAGAATTTAACTCAATATACACACAATATGCGTGGCTCGACTAATCCAACTTATATCTAAAATCATTGATTTAACTATAATAAGAATACATATAATTTTCTAATAATAATAATTTATTTTATAATTACAAATACTTTAGTTAAAATTTAACTCAATAGACACACAATATGAGTGGCTCGACTATTCCAACTTATATCTAAAATCATTGATTTAACTATAATAAGAATATATAATTTTCTAATAATAATTTATTTTATAAATATAAATTATAGGATGACGCAAAACATATTAACAAATGAAAATAACGTATTAACCAACTGTTACAAATTATTTATTTTGTGAAATTTATATATATATGCATGAGACTTCAAAGATGTTCTTTATATCAACTGATGTAATTTGAAATCAAACACCTTAGTTTATTTTTTATTTCATTATAAGCTAATATATCTTAAGTTATAAATATTTTTTTCTAAAATATATTTACATATCTAAGACAACAAACAACCTAAAAGCAAATAATAAAACTAATAAAAATTTTAGTATATTTAGAATAAAATTATTATAGTTGAATTCAGAGAAATAGATGTAATCTAATATACCCAAATAATAATAGCTAGATCGATTATAAAAATAATAAAATCGACTAGATATAACATTTCTAAAATAATATGTCTAATTAAAATAATATATATTATTAATATAATGTATGAAAATTATAAACTAATTTAAAATTAAAAGTAAATAGTAATCAATTATTATAGTATATTTAATTAATAAATATTTATATCCGTGCATGAGCACGGGAAAATCACCTAGTACTAATAATTTTGGAACAGAAACTCAAAAACTTAAAAAATATATTCTCATTGAATTATCCTATTTAAACCACGCCTTGATTAAACTTCGGGAATTTTTTGTAACTGTAAATTTCAGGATTTACAACCTTCAAAAAACACACGTATACTTGTTTAGTCAAATAAGCGTGTCATTTTAAAAATGCTAGTGTTTTCTTTTGTTTTTGTTGGGGGTAGCCCATCTAATGAAACCATAATCATGATCAGTGCCGGTCTAAAATTTTATACTGCCCCAAGTCAAATTAAAAAAGTAAGCCTTTGTACTTATTTGATCAAGATAATAAAACAACATAAAAATCTTAAATTATTTATAAAAGGACTAGTTATTTAGGAAAATTATTATCGAAATATATTTTTCCTTATATTTTTTTCTTATTAAAACATTCATTAAAACTCATATAATCAAGTTTTTTAATCATTGCCGTCTCAAGTCATTCCATTTAACTTCTCTTATGATATGGTAGACCCCATTTAACTTCTCTTGTGACATGGTAAACCGCAAGTAATTCTTTATGAGTGTCAATTTTGAAAATTTTCTTTCAACTGTATAGTCAATTTATTTAATTTCTCATTTAACATGGTACACAAAAGTAATTCTTTACCATATTTAACTTTGAAAACTTCTTTTAGCTGTTGCAATCGATACCATCAATATTGGATAAACAATTTCTGTGTTTTGATAACGGCCATCCATTTTTCAAAAATCAAACACTTTGATAAGTTTTCCCACATATATTAGTTATCGGATAATCTTTAACACCATAAATAAATCAGCAGAAGATATGTTTGGATGTGTACCATTCCGTAAGCAAGCTTCCAATTCAAACATGATGCTCTTAGAATATCCTCACTTATATCTGCTTAGCTCAAAAATTATGTATAACTCTACATGTTCATAAGTAAAAATTAGCTTAAAAACTCTACATATTGATAAGTACTAAGAACATATTGCAAATATCAAATTTTTATTAAAAACATATTGAAAATAATAGAAATATTTTTAATACAAAGTAAAGTATTTTAAATAATTTTTTGTTATTTTCAAGTTTTGTTGCAATTATCTTAATCATTGATATTTGTTTTTCATTTAATAAAAATATTTAATCAATTTAGTATGTATTCTACCATTCCGTAGATTTTAAATTTTTCCGCAACTTAATTAGTTTTTTTCGCAGCTTAATTATTTTTTCCATGATTCCACGATTAAGTAATGTTTACCAACCTACATACAGTAAAACCTTTATAAATTAATAATTTTGGGATTTTGAAATTTTATTAATTTATAGAGATATTAATTTATCAAAAGTTTTCTTGTTCAGATTTTTGCTATTTTTCCCTTTTTTATTTATAAAGTCAAAAAGTATCTGATTTTCGTAGAAATACATTATTTAAATTTTAGAAATTTGACTTTTATATATTTTTATTATTATCTTATTTGGTCTATATTCTTATGTTTCATAGAATTGTTATGTGGTTTTCGATATAATTTAATTAAATATTATCAAAATATAATAGTTTTTTTATTATAAATATAAAACCAACAATATAATGTTAGATTGTACTTATATAAAACTATATATACATTTTTTTTATAACACTGGTGAATATTTGATACAACACAAGATGAAATACATAATAGATAAGAATAGATGTCAGTAGACATCCAAAGAAGCGTAAACAAAAATCTCACCCATAAAAAGGTTCACTGCCGTGTCTCCAAAGCAAGTAAGTGATAAAGCCAAACGGGGGCATTGCGAGCGATGTATGACTGGTGGCGGTGATCACGAGTGATACTAATAGCAATAACATCAACAGCTTCGTTACGTTCAGGGAGAACATGATCTAAACTCCATGAATCTATCTTGGCTAGTAGAAGGAATGTAGTGTGACGAATATGGCTGAGACTGAGGTATTCATATGGTCTTGTCAGTGCGTCATGAAGGCTCTCCGAGGAAGTCTAAATAATATTCGAGAAGTGCAAATTGTGAACACACTCAACCGCCCCGAAAAGCGCCCATAAATCAGCCTCTGCTTTTGTACGCATATAAGAATAAGCACAGCGGCTATGCATGATTGTACAGCCATTGTCGTCTCGTATAATCCATGAGACACCAGTAATATGATTAGACTTCGACCATGAGCAACCAACATTGCATTTAAGAAAACCTTTTGGTGGTTTTTTCCAGGTTAACAATGGAGTAGAAATATCATTAACACTATCCTTTGCACCTGAAAAAGTATCTGACCATGTGGATTCATCCTCATAAGCTTCCTTAGCAATGAAAGATGGTTCAATGTCTTTGTTTTCAAAAACAAAAGCGTTCCTAGCTTTCCAAATTTCAAAAACAATGCCGTGTCTCCAAAGCAAGTAACTATATATACATAGATTATTAATTTATGATTTTAATGGGACTATATATTTACATAGCATTTTTTGAAAATATTATTATCTTATTATTTTATCGATTTGTGTCATATTTTACACCGGCCCAAATTGAGACCGGTGAAATTTATTATTTTATAGAGATTATTAATTTATCGAGTATTAATTTATAGAGGTTCTACTGTATTTGCTAAGATGACGATTGGAAAACAAAGCGCAAAATAATATTCTTACTGGGCTAAGATTAGGCCATGAAATCTCATGTGAAGCCCAAACTAACGAAAACAACGAAACGTCGTCGTCTGCTTTCTTATATTACCTACACGTGCATCAACAAGCGCGTGATTTTAACGTCCTCAATCATCTTCAGATCACAGGCCTTGAATAATTTATCTCCTCCAACTCCAAGAGAGACAGAGAAACAGATCGTATCATCATCACGACCATTGCAATAAGCGAGAGAGAGAGATTAAAAAAAATGTCTGGAATGGTAGATGCGAGCTCGTGGGGAGCAGCGTTGGTAAGGATCTCTCCGTACACTTTCTCCGCAATCGGAATCGCCATCTCGATCGGCGTCTCTGTCCTCGGCGCCGCCTGGTAAAATCCTCCAAATCTTCTTAATTCACGTTGTTTGCAAGCATTGACCTTTTTTTTTGATTTTGCGATTCACCAAATCTGTTTGATTTGAAGGGGGATTTACATCACGGGGAGTAGTTTGATCGGTGCGGCTATTGAAGCTCCTCGTATCACTTCCAAGAATCTCATCAGGTATGTTTAAAAAAAAGGTTGAAGCTTTTAATTAGTTTCGTGGTCGTTGGTGTTAATGTGAAGGGTTTAATGAAAGATTCCATGGTATCATCTTTCTGAGCAGCTGATTCATGTTCGTTCTTGGATATTGCAATGTTACGTTTCTGTAAGAATAGGTAATCACAATGATTAGAAGAAGAAAAAAGTAGTTGACTTTGGATCGAGGACCCTTGATCTCATAATGTGGTTGGTAGGGCTAATAGGTTTTGTGCATAGATAGTGTGAAGGACGAAGATGTCTCCACGTATGTGTAGGCAGAAACTTAATCATCACCGAGATAGCTAAATGTCTAATGAGAGGATGAAGATGAAAAGTTTGATTTTAAAAGCGTCTATGATGACATAACCCTTGGTGCCTTGCCAACTCCCATGCATACACCATCTCTGAACCATATTGAGTAGAGAATTTTAGTCTAAATGACAGTATTAAGGAATGCTTAACTGGGACTAGTTTCGTTTGAAATTTGATTTGTTGTTATAGAGCTATAGCTTTGGACTAAGATGCTCTGTGTGACAATAGTGTTGACAATGAGATTACCACAGGTTCACAACCCATTTCTGAACCATATTGAGCTGAGAGTTTTGCTCTAAGGGAATGCTTAACTAGGATTGTTGTGTATGTAATCTGATTGGTTGTTATAAAGCTTTGTGCTCGGGCTTTGATGCTGGAACTATGAAATGACCAAGAAGCATTTGTTCTTATTTTTTCTTGGCACAGTGTAATCTTTTGCGAAGCTGTAGCTATATATGGGGTTATTGTTGCAATCATTCTGCAAACGAAGTTGGAGAGTGTCCCAACTTCAAAGATGTATGATGCCGAGTCTCTCAGAGCTGGATATGCAATCTTCGCGTCTGGAATCATAGTTGGATTCGCCAACCTTGTTTGCGGGTCAGTATATTCATTCTTATTCTCCTTCCTCACAGTTTATATCTTTTGGATTCTCTTTTCGAATATGCGACCAAGGTCATATTTTCTCTGCTGCAGTTTATGTGTAGGAATCATTGGAAGCAGTTGCGCATTGTCTGATGCTCAGAACTCCACACTCTTTGTGAAGATCCTTGTGATTGAGATTTTTGGAAGCGCTCTCGGGTTGTTTGGAGTTATTGTGGGGATCATTATGTCCGCACAAGCAACATGGCCGACCAAATAGATACAACCTCTCTGAAACCCTGGAGAGAACATGTTTTCTTGATTATCTTCATTGTTATATGGATACTTTCATCTCTAGAAGGAAAACCAGTGTGAAAACTGAGAACCTCTTTTGTATCCCTGATTTTTTATATTGTTTAATACTTTGTAATAAATCTCTTTGGAGAACATCTTCTTGTTTGTATTCTCTTGTAATCAAAGTCAAGAGTTTGTATATGACTTTGTTGTTGCTCTTTATTGATATTGAAAGTTCAATTCAGTTAATATGTTTCTTCTCTAAACCGTTATTTGTCTAGTGTTCATGAGCTAGTTAAAGATCTCCTGCAGTTGGTACAAAACCCACCCAACTAAACAAAATAGTTTACAGATTACTAACCAAGCACGACTGGTTTATTCTAAACCAAGCATAGCAGTAGACGACGTCGTTTATCGATATTGTTTCTCGGTGGCTGCTGTCTTCACCTGGAACCTCGAGTTTTTGTTTTGTTGTGTTTGTATAAACCCTACATATATATATGTACGTCGTCCCACCATCTGCCACAGAGTATACTTTCCATATTCCTCTTCCTTCACATTTCACGGTTCGGTTTCTCCCTCCATCGTAGCGACCTCATCTCGCAAAGCTCTAAACTTTTTCTACTATACCAGTGAGTTTTGCCCTTTTTGTCGTTTTCCTTGCTTTTCTCTTCTGAGTTTTTAATTCCGATTCCATTTGAGCCGTGAGCTGTTTGGTTGTGTCTGATAAAGTTGGAGTCTTTCTTTCAGCTTTTTCTCTGTCGAATTGATTTCTTCTCGTAACTAGCCTGTCTGAATGTTGTGTACCTGTTACAACTGAACTTGTTTGTGTGTAAAAGTAGAGAAAGGATGCAAGCTTGTTGTGGAGGTACTTCAATGGGGTCTCTTCAGCAAGGACCTGCCTTTGCTCCAATAGTCTCCCCAGTGACCAAATTCTCTCAGCAACTCAAGTTCAGTTTCCCAAGACCCTGCCCTTCTCTGCTTCTGAGAAAAGACTTGGTCTTTGAAAGGAGAGCCTCTTCAGTCTCGGCACCTGATGTGGAGACTACCAGTAAGAGAGTTTTAACTTTCACTTTTTGATTATGTGAAAAAGGAAAAAATAGTTATTAATTCCATGTGTGTTTGCGGCTGATGTTATAGGCAATGAGATCCCATTTGAGGACTATTCTCGTCGTGAAGTGGATCCAGAGGTCGATGATATTATCATCAAGGAGAAAAACAGACAGTTTAGGAGCTTGGAGCTTATTGCATCCGAGAATTTCACTTCTCGAGCTGTTATGGAGACTGTTGGATCATGCCTTACCAACAAATATTCTGAGGGTCTTCCTGGTAAAAGGTAATGAAATAGTTTTGTGTGCCCTCTTTTGTTACCCTTTGCTGATGTTTATGTCTCACAGGTATTATGGTGGCAATGAGTTTATAGATCAGTTGGAGACACTTTGTCAGAACCGTGCTTTAGCAACCTTCCGCTTAGATTCTACCAAATGGGGGGTTAATGTTCAGCCTTTATCTGGTTCACCTGCAAACTTTGCTGTGTACACCGCCATACTTAAGCCTCATGATCGAATCATGGTTAGTGGAGATTGTTCTCACTCTCTGTGTTTGAGATATTGAATATTAAGGGGGATATGTTTGAACATTCAGGGTTTGGATTTACCACATGGTGGCCATCTATCACATGGGTTCATGACTGCCAAAAGACGTGTTTCTGGAACTTCAATATACTTTGAGTCTATGCCTTATCGACTTGATGAATCAACAGGTGGTCCATTTTTGATGATATGTTTTCTGCAACTGGCTTACGAGGCTATTTACTGATGTATGAATATTTTGAGCAGGCATTGTGGACTATGATATGCTTGAGAAAACTGCTGTACTGTTCCGACCAAAGCTTATAATTGCTGGAGCTAGTGCGTACAGCCGAGATTTTGATTATCCTCGCATGAGGAAGGTAAAAAACTAAACCCTGATTTCTTGAATCTTTTTGTTTCTTGTCTAGTTTAGGCTAAGCTTCTGATATTTTCACGTATGAATATCTGAAGATCGCAGACTCAGTTGGTGCTTTCCTGATGATGGATATGGCTCACATCAGTGGGCTTGTGGCTGCTTCTGTGGTAGCCGATCCTTTTGAGTATTGTGATATTGTTACAACAACCACTCACAAGGTGTGTATGTATGTTCGTGAATCTGAAATTATTTTCCATAAGATTATATACAAAATCTGATAGTTTGCTATACTTTTCCATATCAGTCTTTGAGAGGTCCGAGAGGTGGCATGATCTTTTTCAAGAAGGATCCAGTTAATGGTGTTGAACTTGAATCTGCCATTAACAATGCTGTCTTCCCTGGTTTGCAGGTTGAGATATTCGCCATTCCTTCTATTTCTCTTAGATAGTATTTCTTTAGACATGATTAAAAGTTATTTGTGGTGTATATTTCTAGGGTGGCCCTCATAACCACACAATTGGAGGACTAGCAGTCTGCTTGAAACATGCACAATCACCGGAGTTCAAGGCTTACCAGAAAAGAGTACTCACCCCTTTTGTTGATCACTAAGTTCTTCTGCATTTTATTGAGTTAGGAAACTTTTACTTATGAGAATCGTTTGTTACTTGTTTAGGTTGTGGCTAACTGTAGGTCTCTAGCTAACAGATTGGTTGAACTGGGTTTCAAGCTGGTTTCTGGTGGCAGCGATAACCACTTGGTTCTCGTTGATCTTAGACCATTGGTAAGTTCTTACAAACTCTATTGATTGCGTCATGCAATAGGCTCTTTTCTCAAACCAGAGTGAACAATTTATGAATCAATATGCTTTGGTATGGTGGTTATAGGGCATGGATGGTGCACGGGTTGAGAAAATCTTAGACATGGCATCTATTACTCTCAACAAGAACTCTGTCCCTGGTGAGAGGGCCTCTTCCCTTATTCTCTGTTTTGTTTCTTCCCATCTAAAAAGATGCTAGACAGTTACTTAATCCTGATAGAAACAAGATGGATCTTTCAAAGTAATATGAGTGTGTTTGATTGTCAAAGAGCTATGAAATTGTGTGACGGTGTTGTTTGTGAAAATGTGAAAACAGGGGACAAGAGTGCGTTGGTTCCAGGGGGAATAAGGATAGGAACGCCTGCAATGACAACAAGAGGTCTGTCAGAGAAAGACTTTGTGGTGGTTGCTGAGTTGATCAAGGAAGGTGTGGAGATAACGATGGAAGCGAAGAAGTTGGTGTCGGGAACAAAGCTTGGAGAGTTCACCAAGTTGGTGACTTCTCCAGAGTTCCCATTGAGAGAGAGAGTGGAGAGTCTCAAGGATAGAGTTGAATCCTTTACCTCTCGTTTCCCCATTCCTGGAGTTTGAAGTGATTGAAAAACCAAAAAAAAAAAAAACTGAGTTGGCTTATTGTAACCTTTTATTATAGATTGGTGACCCTTATTTTGTAGGGTTTTACTATATCAACTCCTTTAGACTGCGTGTGTTCCAAGTTTTTCTTTCTTCCAAAAATTAGAGAGAAATTTTATGTTTGAATCTTGTGGAGAGATACTCGTTTAATGAAACCAGTATAGCAAGCACAGCCGGTTTATTCCTAAACCAAATATCATAATGCTAACTAAGCACTACCGGTTTATATTGAATCAACCAAATATCCAAGCGGACGACCTCGTTTTTATCATTTGATCTCCTTCTTAAAACAAATAACCATTTAATAAGCCCATCACAGGCCCAATTAAAAAACTAGTAAACGACGTCGCATTCATCGCTGTAAAATTAGCCCTTTTTTGTGCCTCTCCCAGATATTGAGCAGCTTTGTTTGTTGCGCAAATAGGTGAAGAAGAGAGATCCGAAAGAGAGAGAGAAGATGAATTCGTTTCTGCAATCGTTCCTGGATCCAAAGAAGAACTTCCTTGCTCGTATGCACATGCAATCCGTCTCCACTCGCCTCCGTAGATACGGTCAGATCTCTATCTATCCGTAACCCTAATTTCCTAATCTCGATTTGTGTGTTTTTTGCTCAGGAAGTGAATCTGTTTTCGTTGATTCTGATTTTGCAGGTCTGAGGTACGATGATACGTACGATCAGTATTACCACATGGACATCAAAGAGGCCCTGAACAGATTGCCCAGGGAGGTCGTTGACGCTCGTAACCAGCGTCTCAAGCGTGCCATGGATCTCTCCATGAAGCACGAGTACCTCCCCGAGGATCTCCAGGTATTGATGTTTGTTAGAACCAATCTTTTGATTATTGAGTCTTGCAAATGTATCTTTAGATTACCGTAGATAGATGAGTGAATTGATTATGCATAAATAATAGATGCTATTAGCATCATGCTAGAGTGTATTAGAAAATAAGGTGTTTGTGTTTTCGTTTGTTACATTTTTTTTTTTGGCAACTTCATGCATATGTATACTATTATGTTACTGAGGTTTTACAATGTGCTAAAGCTCTTTAATAATGTTAAATGTTAAGTATCCTTTTGAATGTTTGTAACTTTTAACCTTGAGGTTGTTATTCTCTGTATACAGGCGTTGCAAACCCCATTCCGTAGCTACCTTCAAGAGATGCTCGCTCTCGTAAGTCTCTCTTTTGATGATTTTTTATTTTTTTTAATTTAGATGTAGGAAGAAGTTCGAAAAAGAAATGATTAGAACTCCGAGATGCTTTGATTTAAAGCAAGTTGTTCTGGTCTTCTGTTTTCATACTCCCTTAAGTCTTTGCATCAGAAAGAATATACTGTTTGTAGTGCTTCAACGTTGTCTACTACTGTAGCTTCTCTTTGGAACATGGATCATCATCGGTGTTCACTGTTATCTATCACCACTTTCTTTGTTTTTTGCAGGTTCAGAGGGAAAGAAAGGAACGTGAAGCCTTGGGAGCTTTGCCACTCTACCAGCGCACACTTCCTTAAGCATACCTTTTTCCTTCCACCTTTCTTATGATGATGATCAACTCTGCTTCTCTGCATAATACTTTTATCTCCAAATGGATGACATTGATATTTTGGAATCAGAACCTGGGATATGTTGCTTGTTTTCATGTTTGCCGGCTTGAATAAAAGCGAAAACTCAACTCTGCTTGTTCAGTGCTTTTCATTTTTTTTTTTCAGTTTCTTTCGTTGTTAAAAACAGTGAAAGATATCCCACATACATATTATATGAGTTTTAATTTGGCCTTTTGGAGCATTGAGAAATGAAACTTGGGGATTTCAACAAGATAATATATGATCAACATGATAGTCATTCATATGATAGAGAGTCATGTTAAGAATGTATAGGAGGATCTTACTTCCAATAAATATATCTATTCTTTATACTTTGCTCTATAATCTATTTTAAGAATGGATTTGAAGTGATGGGAAATTTAACTTTACAAGTTCACATAAATTAAATTTAAAATGTCGTCTTAACTAGTTGCTTCTTCATTGAATCAAAACGAGCTTATAACTTTCAACTAAACCTTCTAATGTAATAACTTACTACTACGCATTCTAAAACAAGCATGGCATGGCCACTTAAAAGAGTTAAAACTGCTTTGTCATGGCCACACTATGGTCATGAAACATTTGTTAGAAAGATTCCACACATTTGTTAGAATTAATGATACCGGCTTTGGAACTTCATACTGCCATGTAAACAGAGTGAGCTTGGAGAATTTCCAGGACGCACAACCAAATAACTAAGCAGCGACTTCTCGCCTTTCAGAGTTTAAAAAATGTCTGTGCACATCCAGAAAATGTGCTGATTCCTTATTCTGAAAGCAAGTCTGAGAACAAATCAGAACAAGGTATCAAGAGCACAGAAAATAGTATTTTAACTGTTACCTCTCACACACACACAATGCCACAACGCTTATTCCCCAAAGGATGAAGTATGGGCACCAAAGGACTATGCCTTTGTGAATAACAAAAAAGGAAAAAATTAAACCAACATAACTGTAACAGCAGTGCATGCTACGTCTGGATATAGAGAATGGCTTAGAACGGTAATAATCCTAAGACATAATAGCATCTACGTCTTGCAGTTCTACTGAAGCAAGCAAAGCAGAAACAATAACCAAAGGCACCGCGAGATGCAACGAATGAACGAGAAAGTACAGAGAAATTAATCGATCTTCAAATTTATCAGCAAATTTATATATTTAAGGAAACCTGTTTATAGCACAGCTTTAAAGCCATGTGGGCAAGGCCGACTCCAGGACACCTGAAACAAGCCACATAATCAAGATAGCGACAAAATAAAAGTCGGTTACGTTCTGAGGGAGAACATGTATGATATTGCACCATTCAGATGGCTAAGGCAGAAGTCATCAACCCCAGCATCAGAGTTAGACCTCTAAAACCAAAAGGTCTGTATGCCACGAACAATGCGATACTGTTCCAGAGGGATGATGAATATGAAACTCACACCTCTATGCAACACACTTCATAGAGCTACAAGTAGAAGCACTAAATAGATCAGATACAAGCTTGGATATGCACTGAACGAAAATCCACATATAAAAGACAGTACCATAAGAACAGCCCTTAAAAATAAGATATCTCAGATAAGAGTGTACATGAATTTTGCTTTATTTCTTCATGAATTACAATAAAGGAAACTAACAGTAATCTGACATAGCAGTAGAAAAGAACACCATAATGAACCTCAGAAATTTTCATTCTAATCAGTACATACTTATATTCTGCTGTCTATACACTTATCAAATCCTCTGGAAAAGAACAATATATGACAAAAAGAAAAGAATATATGCTGATTGATACTAGCAAAATTGACTGCGTGTACCAGCAGATATCAAATTTCTTACCTCCATCAAATGTTCATCATCTGATATATTAAGAGAAAGACGGAGATCAGTTAATGACGTTTCTTGTTCCCAACTTAGTGGACCAGACGCAAACAAGTCCCCCAAAGTACTGCGGTAAGTATATAGTTCAGACCTACAAGACCTTCTTGCTCCATCACATCCTACTGAATGCTTCATCCTTGCATCTTCACCAACGCCACAATAAGATTCAGCATCGCTGCTACATGAGTCTGCCTGTTGCCTTGAGCCATCTAGCATACAAGGTCGCATGTTACTCCCATCATAACTAGTGGCGCTACAACTACCAACTGAGCATGCATCGCTATCGTTACAATCATCAGCGACTAAGGTTCCTTCAGGAACACTCTCATTAAAACCTTTTGTTCTTATCCTGACCATTTGACAGCAACCCGTCTGGGGATAAGCTTCCAGTGATCGTATCTTCTTAGGGATTCCTGTGTATGATTCAGCGCACTCAGACCAGTTGTGAGGTAACGGCCTCTTTAGTACTCTAGGAGAGACAACACTAGGCTCGCGGAGAGGTATGCTTTTCATTTGGGGTTGTAGCTTCCGATGTAGGTCTGATCCAGTGAGTGTGGATGACTTCGCAGAACCTGACATCTGAAAAAAAATGATTACAAGAGAGTTAGTCAACGTATAAGCTCATAAGAAAATTAGTTAGAGATTATTTCAAACAATGAATATCATTAAGATAATATGCAAATTGCCACCTCCAACCAGGTTAGATAAATAAAAAAATTACCTTTCCAATTGCAACCCATCTCTCATCTTGCCACGACTGACGAACCCTGACGTTCGCTTTGTGAAACGTAAACTCTGCTGTAGTCCCAAGTAACCGAACCACATAGTACTTTCCAGATAACTCTTCACGAACAGTGGCAGCTTTCCAGGAGAAATCATCAAGAACTTCCACCAATTCACCACTCTTCCATCCCTCTACATCCACTTGCGGAGGACACGGCCTAATCATCTTCCTTGGAACTCTCTCCATGACAGCCTCCTCGTGAAAAGAGTAGTATCTAACACTGTAGGTATGTCCATTACCAGAAATAATCTCAGCACATCGCCACGCACCATAAGGTGCCTCTTTGCTGCTAAACACCTCAACTCTACTTCCTTTTCTGAATCTCATAATAACTCAGTCCACTTAATACCTGCAAAAACAAAAGAAAAAAGTACATGAGCGCTAATTTAATATCATACATTGTTTAGAATGTTAAAAGACACAATCTTAACAGTTACAATCAAAAAAATGTTCTAATAAAACTCCGCTTAAAACGTATTTGCTTGATGTAACAAAATTTGGAATCAGGAATTATTCGCTAATAGAATTAAAGAAACGGACATAATCTAGATCATTCACATGGAATTAAATAAGAAACAAAGCAAGACCAATCCAAACTCAGTTCCAAAATAAATTCTTTAGATAGCAGAAGATGATAACATTGTTAGAATATTGAAAAGACACAATCTTAATAGCTACACTCTCCTGACCAAAGATCAGTAACACAGATTTCAAACAAAGGTTCTAAACAAAACTCCGATTAAACCGTATTTTGCTTGATGTAATAATCTGGAATCAAATTAAGATGAATCAGTAGAATCATTCGTAAAACAGAATCAAAGAAACCAACATAATAAGCGATGATTCACATGAAAATACAAAACAAATCAAGATCAATTGAATCTTAGTTCCAAATAAACTCGATCAAGATATGAACAGTAACATCGAAACAACAGAAGATAGGAAAATCGAGCAAGAGATCATCATCACCTTCTGGAGGATCGCCGGAATTTTTCGAATTTTGTCTCTTAGATTTTATTGTTCAGATAATTGTGATTGAAATAATGGGAAGAGGAATTGGGGATTAGGGTTTCTGGGTAATGTTGATATGGAAAGAACGAAGATTGGGCGTTACGAAATTTATATATTTATTTTGTGTGTGTTTGTGACGTGGGTTTTAAGTTTAAATCTGTAAACCAGAAATAGCCAATAGGAGACAACCCATATACTAATTATGTTTCACTCGCTTGTTTAGAGCGTGCTCACGCGCGTTAATTATATATTCTTGAGTTTTTATACGCATTTGTGAACTGACCAAGTTTGTGAACTAACTAAGTTTTCAATAATCATGAAGAACATAGCATCTATCACCGAAAAATGGAATAGTAACGATGCCCAAAAAAAAAAAAAAAATGGTATAGTAACCTTGTGTCTATAATGGGAAGGATAAAAAATGAAAAAAAATAGTTATTCTTTTTTTTTTGGTCACTTCATATTTTTAATATAAATACATCAAATTATAGTATTTGATATATGATCACATATTGATAGTTTTAAATATAATTAAATTAGAATGAATAACTAATGAAATTTCTGTGTATAAAAAACTTTTAAATGATTAAATACATGCTAAGTTTTTATAATCTGATTTTTCGGAAATATTATAGAACTGGTAAAAGAATAGTAAATACTTAAATAAAATTTATAAGAGAAAAATAAATGATTGTTGAGAGAATACGAACTAATAGAATAGAATGATACTATGTTCAATCTAGTATGACATAAAATTTTATAATTATTTATTGATTTTTAAAAGAAATATCTAATTTAAAAAATTCACATCACATTATATGTATAAAAAATTATAATTTTCATTTGAATTTTAAAATTCCTTTAGCAAATAATGTTAAGGGAAATAAATAATAAATTACAATGGAGATATTTTTGTAAATGATGGAGATAATTTTTTGTTTGGTTAATTAGTAAATTATAATTTGTTTGATGTGTATAATTAACATGCAATTTCCTTTAGTAAATTTGACTATTTTTTTAATAAAAAGATAAACTCACGATATGTGTCTTAATAAAACTAAATTACACGTATTTATTTTATTAAAACAGAATTACATATAAAAAATATCCTTTCATTTTTCAACTTATTTACAAAAACATGCCACTGAAATTATTAATTAACCTGTTTTTTTATGATTCTTTGTCTTTTTATATTTAATTAATGCATTACTAAAATTAAATTCTAACTAAAAATTATGGAAACAATAATCAATAAACCTACATTTTAGTATTCTGTTTATTTTTCTCTATATATGTGTTTTGAAATAAATAAATAATTAATAAACCTAACTATAAATAGTTACTCAACATAGTATTTGAAAATAAATTATTATTTTTTGATCTATTAGTAATAACTAAAATAAAAATCATAAAAAATCATTTATATAATATATAGATTAATATAAAAAATATATGTTTAAATGTTGAAAAGTATAAAATATATAGCACCATAATATATAATATAATTTTACTATACATTATCATAAAATTTTGATTCCTAAAAATATAAAAATATATTTTACAAATATACGGATTATATTCTAAAAGTATGAATGATAAAATTGATGGTTTACAATATAAAATAAAATTACTTTAAAAATATTAAATTATTGTGTTTAAAATATCATGTTAAATAATTATTTAAACGGGTAAATTTTAAAATATATATTATCTATTATAAAAATAAATATGTAATTATAAGAAAGTAAAAATAAACACTGCGGATGTGTTTCTATGATGTTTAGTTTGTTTATATGACATAAATAAATTTTTAACTGCCACCAAAAATAATTTGTTGTAGTACGACTAATTAACTTTGTAAAATGCATTATAAAAAGATAAAAAATTAAACAATAAAAATAAAACCCGCACGGTTATGCATGTCAAAGTCTAGTATATTTTTATTTTGAAGAAATTGATATTTGTGGTTTACACTCAAGTTTAGCTGGTACTGCTTGTGCAACATATTTAGTGAATTTTAGATTTGGTCAATGGAAAATTTAGTAGAAAAACAAATTTGCGTGGAAAACGTATAATACCAAATTAGTTAAACAACTATAATCTATTTAAAGTTAGAATGATGAACTTTTTTTAATTATTACTAGACCTTGATCTGCTTGACCGAACGTGTATTTATTTTATGTTTTTTTTTGTTTATATTAAATGAGGTATAACTATAACTTCTATCAAATATTTTTTTAAAATATAAATAAATTTTAGTTAGTACTAATAAATATTAAAATATTTAATATATTAGTATCAAATATATTAGAAATTTTATTTCCGTTAAGATTTGGCTAAGGAATCTATTATTTAAATTATGAAAAAGATATTAAATACTTAAATCTATTATTTAAATTAGGAAAAGACAAGCATACTTAAATATATGTTCAAGAAATATCTCAATGGCATTCTAATGTAAATAACTGGTAAAATTAAGGGTTATTTTTTTTATACTTCTCAATTAATAATATAGATGAAAACTCAAGGGTAGAATCCAAAATTTTTAAAATAGGAACATGTTTTAATAGTATAGATTTGGAATGTTGATTTTTACACTGTGAAGAACCACCTGTTAGATTAGTTTGAAAAAAAAACTATGTTTTACAACTAGAGATCCGACCCAAGATGGTTGGATCCGACCCATAACGGTTTGATTTTCATAAATATCCTCATACAATGAAGATAAACTATTAGAAATACAACAAAATAATTATTATTTTTCAAAAAAAAAAAATCACCAAGCAAAATTATACTAACATTTTAGTTTATGCTTTAATGACTATTACTTAGGATTTAGTATTAAGGAATTGAAATATTAGGTTTATAAATATTCTATAAATATTAAATTTTATCACAAATTTAGGATATCTAACTATATGTGAAAATTGTCATTTATTAATAATAAATTAAAAAATGGTACCAAACTTGTGGTATAACTGAAAATTTTCCCATAATGAAAGAGGTCTATAATCTATAATCTATAATCTACAATCTATAATCTGTTACACACTTATGTACACTTTGAAAACAGTAATTTTGTTCACTACAATTTAATCTTCACGCCAACCTCTAATATGTTTTCATTCCAAAATTTATAGAAAAACAGAAACCGATCAACTGTTTCTCCCATAAGAACTATTGTATAGCATCAAATGTCTCAAAAACTGGAAACCATTCAGCTGGATAATGATTTAGAGATTAGTTGTGCAGTTAATCGTTGTATAATGTACCTTTAAATTCCAATATAAAAATGTTAGGCTTTGTGGTTTAGATTGAAGTTTCAACCACCATTAGAATCTTCTATTATAGAAAATATGATTTGTTGATTTTGTTTGAAAATTGGTAGAAGGTATGTTGCAAAATATGAATATTTCAATTTTATTATATGTTTTTAATCGTCAATCATAGTCAGCTGTATATGAGTTTTGAATCTGATGTATGCCTGACTTTTACTAACTACTTTTAAAATGGTCATAAAAAATCATAATATATGCCAAAACACCTAAATAAATGAAACGAAGATTTTGAAACTTTTCACATTATTTATCAAATATCTAGTAAGTAAACCATCTTTTGGGTGATTAAAAAAGAAAAAAATATCCATGAGGAAAAGCTTTGATATAGAGCCAAAGTCATACGTACGTTTCATTAAAAAAGGAAAATAAAACTTTTAATTGGAAAATGTAAGCTGGAAGGGAAAGTGAAAGCATGCTTCTCAAATGGGGTAGGTTAACGTGTTAGGAATATCCGAAGTAGGAGGTTATCGACGACGTAAACATTCTCTTCAATCCTCTTTTCAAGTTGCTTAAGAATAATTTCAAAGTTAAGAGAATTTGTTTTGTTCAACTATTAAACAATGATAACTGTAAAGAGACGTAAGTAAGAGTCCAACACCAAACTCATACCTTAAAGCCATCATATTCTGTTATGGCTTCGTTAACTTAACAGACCGAAGCAAAGACTAGACTCGTCTCTTTTAGGTAGCATTGAACATGTAACAGTCAGTCAATGTAGGAATAACTCTTAACGGGTAATTTGAGTAATGGACCGGACAACCAAGTGGGCATCGGCATCTCATCCAAAATCCAAACCGTAAAACTGAAACCGAACCAAAACTTATAAAAATTTGAACGGTTTCTATTTTTCTAAACCAGAAAAGACGAATCAGAAACCAGAAAAGACGAACAAGAACCAAACTGAGAACCACCGAATACTCAGAATATAATTTATGTACTTAAAAATATTCGTTACATTTAGTTCTAACATAACTGTATATTTATAAATCTAATTTAAACAAAATTATCAAAAACTCATAATATCAAAATATCTATGGTTTTACGGTTTAATTCAAGTCTCGGTTTTTTTCTTTTTTTTTTTGTTTAAAATCCAAAACCAAATTCAAAATTTATGTAATTTAGTTCTGGTTTGGGTTTCATACAAAAATAGAAACCAACCCGAATCTGACTAGATCCAAACTGATCTGATTTGAAAAATAAAAATTCCTAAATAACTCCAAGACACCCAGTCCGAATAACCCAACCCTATTCAAACGGTCAACCGTTTTATTTTAACTGGAAAAGGTTATAAATAAAGCTTAAATATTCCATTATTAAGTACTTCCTCCATTTTATTTTAAGTGTCATTGTAGAAATTTTTTTGTTACAAGATAAGTGTCGTTTTGAAATTTCAAAATAATTGATGTCACTAACTTATCTTTGGTCATCTAGTTGATAATCTCATCGCATTTGTCTACCATACCTTTCATATTACAAGCTGTTAACACAGACTGAAAAGTTTTGTTTTTTTTTCTTCTGTTTAGCTTAGAGCATCTCCAACCCCACTCCAAAACCCACTCCAAAACTCCATTTTGCAGTAAAATCTTCTCCAACCCTACTCCAAAATTCACTCCAAAATGGAGTAACAAACATGATTACTCCAAATATGGAGTAAACCAACTCATTACTCCAAAATGGAGTTGAACTTTTTTATTTATCAAATAGTCCTCCATATTTATATATGTTTCATTTTTAATAAAATATTATTATAAATAAGTA